AAGGTTCGTGGTAATCCAGTCACAAAGTCCATGGTGATGTTTTCCCACTTCCACTGAGGAATAGGTAACGGCTGCAGTTTTCCAAGAAGTCTCTGGTGTTCAACCTTGACCTTTTGGCAAGTCAGGCATTGTGAGACAAATCTAGCTATCTCCCTCTTCATGTTCCGCCACCAAAATGTCCTACGTAAATCACGATACATCTTGGTGCTCCCTGGGTGGATTGTATAGCCAGTATAATGGGCATCTCCCATAATCTCACGCCTTAAAGCATGGTTTCTTGGTACACACAGCCTATCACCAAACCACAGAATCTCATCATCAGAAATCCTAAATTCTTGCATGTGGGGTTCCCCGGCTCTTACTTTTTCCTTCATCTTCTGCAAGAAGGAATCTTTTTGTTGGGCAAGTTTAATTCTATCTATTAAGGCCAGTTGTGCACTGAGAGTGGCTAAATAAGCCGTAGTGCTGTCCACTCTCAACTCCACATCTAGTTTCACAAGATCCTCAAGTAACTCCTTCTAAGTGGCAAGGATGCTAGAGGCAGTGCCAGAGGACTTCCTGCTTAACGCATCTGCTACCTTGTTAGCCTTGCCCGGATGGTAGCTAATGGTCAAGTCGTAGTCCTTTAAAAGTTCAAGCCATCGCCTCTGCCTCATATTAAGCTCCTTCTGAGTGAAAATATACTTAAGGCTCTTGTGATCAGTGAAGATTTCACAAGTCTCACCATACAGATAATGCCTCCAGATCTTGAGTGCAAATACCACAACTGCCAACTCTAGATCATGGGTAGGGTAATTTTCTTCATAAGGCTTTAACTGCCGAGAAGCATATGCAATAACCCTATCTTTTTGCATCAAGACACATCCCAAACCCTTTTTAGAGGCATCACTATATATAGTGAATTTTTCCCCATTAATTGGAAGTGCAAGTACAGGAGTAGTGATCAACTTCTCCTTCAAGGTCAAAAAGCTCTTCTCACACTTTGGGGTCCACTCAAACTTGGTGTTCTTTCTGATAAGACGAGTCATGGGCAGAGCAATTCTAGAGAAATCCCCCACAAATCGGCAATAGTAACCAGCCAATCCTAGAAAACTACGGATTTCTGCAACACTATTTGGCCTCTTCCAATCAACAAGGCCTCAATTTTTTGGGGGGTCAACAGAGATTCCATCCTTAGTCACCACATGACCTAGGAATGCAACATTGTCTAGCCAAAATTCACACTTCTTGAATTTAGCAAACAGCCTCTCCCTTCTCAACGTCTCGAGGACTGTCCTCAAGTGCTTCTCATGAAGAGCATGGCTAGAAGAGTAGACCAAAATGTCGTCAATAAAGACAACCACAAACTGGTCTAGGTACTTGCTAAGCACCCGATTCATCAAATCCATAAATCTGGCAGGGGCATTTGTCAAGCCAAATGGCATGACTATGAACTCATAATGACCATAACGGGTGCGAAAGGCAGTCTTTGGCACGTCATCCGGCTTAATCTTCACCTGGTGGTAGCCAAATCGAAGATCAATCTTAGAAAATACCTGAGCACCCTTGAGCTGGTCAAACAAGTCGTCAATTCTAGGAAGGGGATACCAGTTCTTCACAGTCACCTTATTCAATTCCCGGTAATCAATGCATAGCCTCATGCTCCCATCCTTCTTCTTGACAAACAACACTGGAGCTCCCCAAGGTGATACACTAG